AAATGATAACAAGGATAATTAGTAGTAGAGTGTGAGCAGACAACATTCACTCTATGATGTTAAGGATTGAAAAATGAAAACCTTCCTGTTCTTCTCTGTTTCACCTTTTTGAACATACATCACAGAACTGTTAAAGGAAGAATCATTTTGGTACACTTATGGGCTCTGTCCAGTGGATCAAAGATCATTTCCTCAAAATGGAATCTAGAGTGCCTTATAAAATGGAGTCTCCTTTAGCAAATGGACAGCCTGAAAAACCTACAACATGGAGTAGCTTATAGGAAATAGAACATGTCCTGAACTCAACATGCTTCTGAGAAGCTGCCTGTAAGGCAGAGGCTGGAGTACCTTGTAAATGTAACCAACCATCTTAATTAAATAAGAAACACAGAACCAATGCAAAGAAGAAAGACAAGAGATCAGAACTAAGAGCCTTACCGCCTGCTGCAGCTAGCCTCTTAAGCCAAGAGTCCTCTCCGAAAGGGGCCTACTTCCTGTGTGTTTGTCTTTATATAGTCTTTCTATTCTGCCTTCTCATTGGTTGTAAACCCAAACACATGACTGCCTCTTCATCACTACCTGTACGTACAGCCCTCCAGGTCTTCTATGGTATTGAGATTAAAGGCGTGTGTCTCCAATGCTGGCTGTATCCTTGACTACACAGAGATCTACCAACCTCTTTTACCAAGTGCTGGGATTAAAGGTGTGCACCACGAACCCCCAGCACTGCTATGGCTTGCTATTAATTCTGGCCTGTAAGCAACTTTATTTACTAACATACAAATAAAATCACATTTCAGTACAAATGAAAGACCACCATAGTAACTCCCATGTACTTGAAGGTCAGTTCAAGGAGCTCTATGTGGGGCAGTTACAGGGCTGGTTCAAAGGAGCTGTATGTAGACTCTCTGGATTTCGCTCAGTTGTCCTGTAACTGGATGAGCAGACAGTTGTCACAGTCAGTTTCACACTCAGCTAAGGCTCTAAGAGAGACAAACTCAATGTACAGAGAAGCCAATTTTGAGTAAAGACTTATTCACCTTGGTCCTTTCAATCCCATGCTTTTAATATGTATTGTTCCCGTGCATTTGTGAGGTATGTGACAGGCTTGTGAATATTTGTGATTGGGGGGAGTACCAATGTGTATCATTGACTGTGAGAGACCAGTATTGTGGGGATTTAACAAGGCAACTCCATGTAGTTAAAAGGAGGGTTATTTGGGGGAATCTTACAGCCAGTGAAAGGGTTGGTTACAGGATGTGGGAGAGATGAGGTATAGCCCAATAGGGTTCTTTTGAGAACTCTGACTTCCAAAATCCAGGATCATGAGGAACTAAAAGGGTAAGTCTATATGAATCTTCAGTCTTAAGGGCTCCCATCTCAGCTCTACTCAGGGACAGGTCATAGGTAGGAGTTGTAGTTACCTAGAAGCCTCACTAGGGGTAGTGCTTCTAGGTCAAAGCTGGAACACCTACTCAC